TGAGTTTTACAGGATCTGCCTGTCCTGAAGCCATGTTGTAAATTGTAAAGAATATTGTTGTTTTCACCATGGGTCATAATTGATGATATAGTTATGTGTGACTTTACAGCATATTGAAATATGACAGTTGTTTTCCAGTCGTTTGATGTGTTTGAGCTTTTAATTTTGCCATTTGATAAATGACTTTCAGTTTTTAATTTTCCTTGGAGTTCGGTATTTTTATTATTTTTATTTTTGACGTCAGGAAGATGGGCCTGAATTTTGCAGTAGAATATTTTTCCCCCTTTTTGAAGACCAGAGATACATTTACTGAACGCCAGTTGTTTGGAACAGTTCCAGTTTCTAAGGATTTTGCAAACAGTCACTGTAGAAGAGGTGCTGTCTCACTGTGTAATTCTTTGATGATTCTTGGTTATATACCATCCGGCCCGGTGATTTGTTTCGGTTCAGGTATTCAGCAGTTTGTCTATGCCTTCAAATTAGGGGGGAACTACAAATCTGACCGTCCTGAAATTTGTTCTCAGGCTTCATTGTTAATTATAATGTTATGCATTTCCTCTTTCCTCAATTGTCAACTTGGTCCTCGGTGGCTGAGTGGTCTAAGTAGTCAAACTACTGTATCACTATAAAAATAAGGAGATGTGGTATGATTGCCAATGAGATTACTAGCCTATCGACACTGAGGTTGTTAGTTCGAATCCCTCACACCGCAGGTACACTTGACTTCAATCTTAATTGAATTGGATTGTCAGTTTTCCTACCAAAGGTCCGTGGTTCATTCCGGGCACTTTATCTTCCTCCCCCAATAAAAAATGACCGCCACGAAGCACCACGATAATGTTGATAGTGGCTTAAAACACCAAACAATAAATTCTCAACTTCCTATTTATGGACGACTTACATAGTCTTACACATAATGACCGTATGCACAAAGCCACATATTCATTTTTTTGTCACTTTTTTGCAGGAACTAGAAATTAGAGCACCCTGAAATTTGGTTACCATGATTCTGTGCTTCATATCTTATTATTATTAAGTTGTGCTTCAGTCAATGCTTTATCTTCCAAACAAAATTACAAAAGAAAGCTTTCAATTCTTGTATGAAAAATATTTAATGTTTTTCTTTTCATTTTTATTCAGTATTAAAGATTGAATGCAGCTGAACATAATATTTTGTTTTAATGAAATTTTTTTAATAAAGCTTGATCAGTCCTGAGCTTTGCTAAATATGGATGGTAGTCATACACAAGACGTCATAGTTTATTGATTTCAATTTTCAAATTAAAAGATAATAATAATCAAATATTCAGTATAATCAACTAAATAACACATATCTGAGAGGATGATAAAACTTCACTTGGTTGACAATGTTTTCTTGGGGTAACAATCTGCTCTATCAGCCTCTCAGCTATGTGTTATATATGACTAATGGCTTGACTCACAAAAAAAAAAAAACACTAACAAAAAGAAAAAAAAACACATGTATACATAGAAAAGGGAACAAGTTCAAAATATATATCTTTTTTTAATTCTTTATTTTGTATTTCTTCATCTCATACATATGCATTCTTTCTATTAAAGTAGGATGCAGTACTTGTTTTTAAGTACATATATATATATATATGACCTATAATATTAAAAAAAATAGTATTCATATATGATTAACCATTGTTAACCTGATATTATGTATTAACTTCTTAAGTGCCATCTTAACACAAAGTAACAGTGAGCTCAATCTACAAGAATATATATAGTACTTCCTAATAAACATAATAGTAATAATAACATTCTTACAAAACTACTGAGTGGTACATTAAAACTATATGTTGAAGTTCGTTATTTCTCTGATATACCAAGAGAACTGGGTCTATGTACGTATATATGTGTATGTTGCAAAATGCAATGTGTTGAGAACGAATTTCATTTTGTACATGTATTGGTATGTCCTGCATATAGAGCAATTAGAAATATTTTTTTGCCACTTTATTATTGTTCATGGCCTTATACTTTTAAATTATCTTGTTTGTTGAAAGCTACTTCTAGCTAGTAATTACAGATTGCGTACAATTAAGCTCTGTAACTATTTGATGAATGCATGGATAACTAGATCTGATATTATTGGTTAGTTATATTATTATTGTATTATTCTCTGCTATCAATCTTTTGTCACATTGTGTATATATTGTGTATTACCATAACAGGTCTTATATGCTCTTGCAAATACATTCAATAATAAATTCTTTACTTAAAGAGGATTACTCAATTAGAATTAGTTCAATTTTCATTGAAGCTCTCAACAAAATACATGTATACAGTTTACAGTTATACATCAAATTATAACATAGATATATAAGGTCAGTGATTCTCTCCCGGCACTCCGTCTTCCTCCACCAATAAAAACTGAACGCCACCAAATGGCACAAAAGTGTGAAAGTGGTGTTAAACACCAACCAATCAATCAAACAATAGTAGATATATACAACTGATATATAAACAAGTTTAAATTGAAACAACGTTCAAACCTATGATTGCATTGGATAAAAACCGCAATTTTTATACGTGTGCATGCAAAACAAATTTCTTGGTAGAGAGGTCTAAATACAGCACAAACAACATTTTCCAAAAGACCAAAAAAGTGACAAAATATATTTTAACAAAACGCATTTGACTAGCAGGTCGAACAACGGATGTTCTTTAACCCTGCTGATTGCCATTGGCGATAGCCAAATACAAGATCACCAGATGTAACAAAATGGATCTTAAACATTAATCTAATATCAAACAGATAACAACAAACTTGCGGAAAAGATGGTATACCGCAAACAAAAGGTGCAAAAATTAGTACACCATATCCGAATTTCGACAATTAATGTCTCTTCAGGGATGTTTGGAATCGAGACGGTATTTGGAAGGCCATATAATTTACCTCAATTTAGGATAGACTCTTGAATTTTGAAGAGTCGAAATAGGATGAACGGATCATATAAACCCGAAGGCAAATATAATACAAGCCCAAACGAAAAAATATAAACAAGTCTAAATTGAAAACAACGTTCTAACCTATGATTGCGTTGGATAAAAACCGCAATTTTTATACGTGTGCATGCAAAACAAATTTCTTGGTAAAGGGGTCTAAATACAGCACAAACAACATTTTCCAAAAGACCAAAAAAGTGACAAAATATATTTTAACAATACGCATTTGACTAGCAGGTCGAACAACGGATGTTCTTAAACCCTGCTGACTGCCATTGGCGATAGCCAAATACAATGATCACCAGATGTAACAAAATGGATCTTAAATATTAATCTAATATCAAACAGAAAACAATAAACTTGCGGAAAAGATGGTATACCGCAAACAAAAGGTGCAAAAATTAGTACACCATATCAGGATTTCGACAATTAATGTCTCTTCAGTGATGTTAGGAATCGAAACGGTATTTGGAAGGCCATATAATTTACCTCAATTTAGGATAGACTATTGAATTTTGAAGAGTCGAAATAAGATGAACGGATCATATAAACCCGAAGGCAAATATAATGCAAGCCCAAACGAAAAAATATAAACAAGTCTAAATTGAAAACAACGTTCAAACCTATGATTGCGTTGGATAAAAACCGCAATTTTTATACGTGTGCATGCAAAACAAATTTCTTGGTAAAGGGGTCTAAATACAGCACAAACAACATTTTCCAAAAGACCAAAAAAGTGACAAAATATATTTTAACAATACGCATTTGACTAGCAGGTCGAACAACGGATGTTCTTAAACCCTGCTGACTGCCATTGGCGATAGCCAAATACAATGATCACCAGATGAAACAAAATGGATCTTAAATATTAATCTAATATCAAACAGATAACAATAAACTTGCGGAAAAGATGATATACCGCAAACAAAAGGTGCAAAAATTAGTACACCATATCTGAATTTCGACAATTAATGTCTCTTCAGTGATGTTAGGAATCAAAACGGTATTTGGAAGGCCATATAATTTACCTCAATTTAGGATAGACTATTGAATTTTGAAGAGTAGAAATAAGATGAACGGATCATATAAACCCGAAGGCAAATATAATGCAAGCCCAAACGAAAAAATATAAACAAGTCTAAATTGAAAACAACGTTCAAACCTATGATTGCGTTGGATAAAAACCGCAATTTTTATACGTGTGCATATAAAACAAATTTCTTGGTAAAGGGGTCTAAATACAGCACAAACAACATTTTCCAAAAGACTAAAAAAGTGACAAAATATATTTTAACAAAACGCATTTGACTAGCAGGTCGAACAACGGATGTTCTTAAACCCTGCTGACTGAGATAGGCGATTGCCAAATACAATGATCACCAGATGTAACAAAATGGATCTTAAATATTAAACTTATATCAAACAGAAAACAATGAACTTGCGGAAAAGATGGTATACCGCAAACAAAAGGTGCAAAAATTAGTACACCATATCAGGATTTCGACATTTAATAACTCTTCAGTGATGTTAGGAATCGAAACGGTATTTGGAAGGCCATATCATTTACCTCAATTTAGGATAGACTCTTGAATTTTGAAGAGTCGAAATAGGATGAACGGATCATATAAACCCGAAGGCAAATATAATACAAGCCCAAACGAAAAAATATAAACAAGTCTAAATTGAAAACAACGTTCTAACCTATGATTGCGTTGGATAAAAACCGCAATTTTTATACGTGTGCATGCAAAACAAATTTCTTGGTAAAGGGGTCTAAATACAGCGCAAGCAACATTTTCCAAAAGACCAAACAAGTGACACAATATAGATACATAACAAAGAAGGACAACTCTAATACAAAAAGAAGATAATTTTTGTAGGTGAATTAAGCAGACTTTTTTACTTGATTGCTATGTATATAAAGTTACTTAATAATGCATTTATTATCGATAAATAGGCAGTAAAAACAAGAAGAAAAAGAAAAGAAGAAAAAAGAGAAAAAATATGTACAATCATCTGATCAGGGAAAAGATGAAACAGATGATGAAACAGATGATGAAAAAGACGACGAAGAACATCTAGACATTACTGTACCAGCTGTTATTGTCTTCTTTGTCCTAGTCTGTGCTTTCTTAGTGCTGCTGTACTTCTTTTATGACTATCTGGGTAAGATTGATATTTTAGTCTAAGATACTTGACTTTTTTATTAGTTGTTATTGGCTTTGAACTAGCTTTCAGTAACTGTGAGCACTTTCAGATCTGTGCTCTGTGTCTTTTGTGTTTTTTTTAAGGCTTTTTTTGTGCTTTGTTTCTATCTGATGAGTTAAGCCCTTTTCAACTTATTTTTATAGTTTGTCCTTAAGTTTTACTGTTACAAACCTGTCCCAGGTTAAGGGAATGGTTTGGATCCAGCAAGCATGTTTAACCGTGCAACATTCTGTATGTGTGTCCCACGTTAGGAGCCTATACTTGAGTGGTTGTCGTGTGTTGCTATATATCATATTTGTTTTTCATTTATTGGTTTGTACATAAATGAAGCCGACAATTTTCTGGTTTGAATTGTTTTACATTTGGTTTTAAGGGGGCTTTTTATAGCTTACTATGTGGTATGGGTCTTGTTTTTGAAAAACCATCTTTGACCAAACTATTTTTTTTCAAAGTTCTTTCTGAACACTGCTGTAAAAAATTTCAGAAATAATGGAAGATCTTTTACCTTGATTTTTTTCTGTGATAAGTGAAACCACAAAAAAACGAAACAAAAAATACATTTTTATCAACACGTACAAATAAATGTACTTTATATAGTATCTTTAATAATGCATGATGATAAGAAACTTTTGTACCTTTGTATTATGTATGAATTTAATGTACTGAAGTTTATTATACCCCACGCAACGAGTTGTGGAGGGTATAATGTTTTTGACCCGTCTGTCCGTCTGTCCGTCCGTCCGTCCGTCCGTCAGTCCGTCAGTCCGTCAGTCATGTTTCTTGTCATCGCAACTCCTCTCAAACCACACAACAGAATTTCACGAAACCTTTTTAAATAATAAGGACATACTATGTAGTTTTGCATATCGACAGGAAATAACGATTCAATTTTTTTCCAGGAGTTACGCCCCTTTGAACTTATTTGCCCATTATACAACTGCAACCTTTTGTCATCGCAACTCCTCGCAAACCACACAACAGAATTTCATGAAACCTTTTCAGATAATAAGGACATACTACGTAGATATGCATATCGACAGGAAATTAGGATTCAATTTTTTTCCAGGAGTTAAGCCCCTTTGAACTTATTTGCCCAATATACTACTGCAACCTTTTATCATCGCAACTCCTCTCAAACCACACAACAGAATTTCATGAAACTGTGTAGATAATAAGGACATACTATGTAGATGTGCATATCGACAGGAAATTATGATTCAATTTTTTTTTCTGATACAATTTTTTTTTCTTACACTTATTTTATTTCTCCAATGACAATGTGGGGACGTGGGGTATGTGAACGTTAGGAGCCTATACTTGAGTGGTTGTCGTGTGTTGCTATATATCATATCTGTCTTTCATTAATTGGTTTGTACATAAATGAAACCGATAATTTTCTGGTTTGAATTGTTTTACATTTGTTATTTAGGGGGCTTTTATAGCTTACTATGTGGTATGGGTTTTGATCATTGTTGAAGGCTGTACAGTGACCTATAGTTGTTAACTTCTAAAGTCATTTGTCTCTGGTAGAGAGTTGTATAATTTGCAATCATACCACATCTTCTTATTTTATAAGGATGATATTGTTAGAATAGTCATTATAAGGGTTGATTCATTAAACCAATCAAAGTTTTTGTTAACAGCATTTGTTTATCATGAAGTTGTGGTCACATTGATTTTAATCTTAGTACACAAATGTTCAATATGACGTGAACTCTTCAAAATATATTCCAAAGAAGGGTTTTGACCAAGATATTATGGTTTGAACACTGAAAAAAATAAATGTTATTATGTGAGTCTGCTGGATATGGGGTCTTGTGGACAGATATTTTTTTCTATTTCTTAAAAGTATTTCCTAAGGTGAACAATTGGCTTTGCTCTATAAATTATATATATTTTTCAGTATTTGTTATCATTAGTTTGTTCTGTATAGCTGGAAGTATGGGATTGTATTATTGTATACAGCTAGCCTGGAAATATATTCCTATAAGAACAAGGTATGTCCACAAAATTCGTCTGAGCCAAAAGTTTCTTCTTGTAATACATGTATATAATTAAAAGGATATTTGAGTTATAGGTAAATGAGTTTAACAACCCAAGGACACAAATTCAAATGAAAAAGATTTTTCTGGAGGTTAACAATACATATATTTAAAAGGAGATGTGAGGTAGATGTCAATTAGACAGCAACCAAATAACAAAAAAAAAAGGCAATTGGGAACAATCTTTGCTACTTTTGTAAACTAATTATCTAGTTTCAAAGAAAGTATAGGCCTAATGATTAATTACTTACATAGTTTAAAATACGTATTATTGTTATGCAATTCATACTTTAATTTCATAGATTTTGATTGGACAGTATAATATTTTGAGGGGTTAAATCTGCAGTTTATCAGATATTATTCTCTGTGCCATCTGTTTATTTCAGAATTCATCTAACCGATGCAATTTAGCAATTGCATTTATATAATAGAAATAACCGTAATGTATTTTTGTACTTGCATATATAAATCTTAGATTTTACAGTCACACATACAATAGATATAAGAAGATGTGGTATGAGTGCCAATGAGACAACTCTCCATCCAAGTTACAATTTATACAAGTAAACCATTATAGGTCAAGGTACTGCCTTCAACACGGAGCATTGGCTCACACCGAACAGCAAGCTATAAAGGGCCCCAAAAAAATACAAAAATTATGAAGTTTATTTTAATGCATATCAAAAAAAAAAAAAAAAAACAGTTTGATACAATAATATCAAGATTTTTTAAGGGGCTGTTCCAGATTTAAATGCATGGGTGATTTATAGGAGGCACTCAAATAAATAAATTTTGGGTGGTTGTATTCTGGCTAGAATTTTGTAAAAATTGTAAGTAAAATGAAAATTTATATAATGGGTGGTTGGGATCTAAAAAAAAGTACCTACCATCCCCTTGATCCCATGTGTTAAAATCTTGAACAGCCTCAAGTAAAGAGATACAATATGTTTCTTATTTATATATTGTAGTATATCAAAGTTACCATGCTGTAAGAGTCAGCAAGAAGTCAAGAATTTGATATTATATGCCTTATGTGCAACCTTCGCCATTATTTGGGCTATAGAAAGACACAAAGATAGAAAGACATAAAAATAACAAAATAAAATAAGGAGATGTGGAATGATTTTGAATGAAACAACTATCCACCAGAGTTAAAATGACATGGAAGTAAGCAACTATAGGTCACCATATGGCCTTGAACAATGAGAAAAACTCATACCATATGGTCAGTTATAAAATGCCCAGACATGATGTGAAACAAGTCAAATGAGAAAACTAACTGTCTCTGTCTATAACAATATAATTAAAAAAAACAACAAATATGACAGACATGAACCAACAACAACCACAGAATTACAGGCTCATGACTTGGGACAGGCCCATAAAGAATGTGGTGGGGTTAAACATGTTTTAGAGAGCTCAACTTCCCTAACATGGAATAGTGGGGTAACAGCACAACATAAAAACGAACTGTAAAAATTAGTTGCAAATGACTTACCTCAATATAGATATAAGCCGATCATATAAAAAGTTCATATTAAAAAAATATATTTGGTTAAGGGGCTTACATGTATGAATTATTTGAATTTCATTAATTTTCTAAGTTTCCATATGCAGTTTTTGAAAAACCATCTTTGACCAAACTATTTTTTTTCAAAGTTCTTTCTGAACACTGCTGTAAAAAATTTCAGAAATAATGGAAGAGCTTTTACCTTGATTTTTTTCTGTAATAAGTGAAACCACAAAAAAACAAACCAAAACATACATTTTTATCAACACGTACAAATAAATGTACTTTATATAGTATTTTTAATAATGCATGATGATAAGAAACTTTTGTACCTTTGTATTTTGTATGAATTTAATGTACTGAAGTTTATTATACCCCACGCAACGAGTTGCGGAGGGTATAATGTTTGTGACCCGTCTGTCCGTCTGTCCGTCAGTCAGTCCGTCAGTCCGTCAGTCCTGTTTCTTGTCATCGCAACTCCAGATAATAAGGACATACTACGTAGATGTGCATATCGACAGGAAATTACGATTCAATTTTTTTTCCAGGAGTTACGCCCCTTTGAACTTATTTGCCCAATATACTACTGCAACCTTTTGTCATCGCAACTCCTCTCAAACACACAACAGAATTTCATGAAACCTTTTCAGATAATAAGGACATACTACGTAGATGTGCATATCGACAGGAAATTACGATTCAATTTTTTTTCCAGGAGTTACGCCCCTTTGAACTTATTTGCCCAATATACTACTGCAACCTTTTGTCATCGCAACTCTTCTCAAACACACAACAGAATTTCATGAAACCTTTTCAGATAATAAGGACATACTACGTAGATATGCATATCGACAGGAAATTACGATTTAGTTTTTTTTCCAGGAGTTACGCCCCTTTGAATTTATTTGCCCAATATACTACTGCAACCTTTTGTCATCGCAACTCCTCTCATACCACACAACAGAATTTTATGAAACTGTGTAGATAATAAGGACATACTATGTTGATGTGCATATTGACAGGAAATTATGATTCAATTTTTTTTTCTGATACAATTTTTTTTTCTTACACTTATTTTATTTTCTCCAATGACAATGTGGGGACGTGGGGGTATGTGAACGCGCTCACTAAGGTTTTTTCATTTCAGCTATGCCTGGGTAGTACAAGGCATATTAGGTTTGGCTTTCTGTATCAATATGCTAAAAACTATTCAAGTACCTAATTTAAAGGTGAGTATATATACAAAACCTGGTATCCATTATATTTTTTCAAAATTTTCATCATTTGAAATTTGTTAAATCGTACTTTATATTTTACCCTGAGTTTTATATGAAACACTTGGTTTTGGATAAGTAATATATACCATCTCCACACAAGGTGTTCATTTATTATATACAAAAAACTAATACACATTCATTGCATTATTTTGATGTGTTATACATTATCAATTACAAAAAGACATTAGTGTTGAAAATTGTGCTATTTTCAGAAGTGTTGAATGAATGGGGTAGAAGGGGGTCTTATCCCGAATTCACAAGAAAATAAATGCCAAATCCTGAATTCCTGTGAAAATAATGCATCCATTTATGCATCACGATATTAAATCCTGAATTCCTGAATTTCCTATAACTTAAATGGCTATTCCAGGATTCCCACGAATTAAACAGCTCAATCCTGAATTCCTCAAAAAATGTTCTTCAGCCCTTCGTGAATACCCTTAAACAATCTATGAGAAAACAAAGACTTTTTGATATAACTAAAATAAGGAGATGTGGTATGATTGCCTATCAGACTACTATCCATACAGATCAAAATGTAAATATACCAATTACAGATCAATCAACAATGAGAAAAACCCATACCACCTGGTAAATAGTAAAACGCCCTGGAAGACAAAATCTGAAACAATTCAAAAGAAAGAACAACAATAACCTGAAGTTTAGGGAATAACTAATATTTTTTATGCAGCTGGTGGGTTATTTAAAAGTGTGCACCACATTTTTTAGGTTATTTCGAATAGACAGAAAATTTTTTACAGTCATTACTTATTATTTAATTCTAAATTCCATTTTTAAGGAGTAAATCATGAAAAAACATTGACAACGTCACAATCACATGACAAAACTATGTCTATGAGCTGATAGACAAAAAACTTTCAGCAAATCAGAAGATTTGTTACATTCAAAATTAAATTATATATATATATATATTATACTACAACAATAAAGAAAAAGCAGTTATGACTGACAGCAACCATCATTAACTACACAATTACAGATATTCTGATATCTGATACTTATATTCCCGAAAGGGCAATAGTAAATCTCGAATTAAGGTTGGTCATCTAATGGCAATAACAAATTCTCACAATAATTACTGAATTTACAGTATATATCAGATCTGTTCAATGTTTTTGGTGCTATAAATATCATGAGTTAGAATAAAAGGTATATTCTATTATTTTACAAATCTGCTCAATATTACTGATACTGTTATTCCTGTATGATATTTTCTTTGTATTTATCACACCTTATTTTACAAAGCTAAGATAAAGCTAATTAATTCAGCTTAAACACTATCATTGGAAAGTATTAAATTTATTTGAAATGCAAAGAATAAGCTATAATGATATAATTGATATTTTTTTGCCAAAGTGGGTTGTCAGGGCAAATTTGCAGGGGGATTATCATGTTCAGAAACTCTCTAACAAAAGATTATCACTTCAAAAAGTCTATTGACAAAGGATTGTCTGTTTTGAAAGATCGAACTTAAAAATGCGATATAAACATGTTCAAAACCATATGCATATTTGGACATTATATTAAAGAAAAATGCACCAAAAACATATCAATAGTTGTTTTTTTCCTAAATGTCAAATTTTACAATATCTCTTACTTAATCATGTTAATATACAAGCCTTGTCACAGACTTAAAATTTCAATATCTAAAAGTTCACAATCACACCATAACTTAAAGCTATTTTTTTAGACATTAACTTAACAAGAACAGAGGGACTTGTCCATTATGGAACCTTTAATCAAATTGATTTTTGTGTTCAATAGGATGAAGAAATTCTTGATGTGACTAGAAGAGTAAGGCTTTCTATATCTGCATGTGGGAATGACTTTAAACAAGGGTTTATTTGAAGTTCACTAGTTTCAATTTTGGAATAGAAATACTGATTTTGGCTTTTGCAAACCTCTGAAAAGATGTTAGCCTTTTTTTTAATGTGAGTCAGTTTCAGAATAGATTGGTTAAGTTGTTTTTGATAATCGATTGCTTAAATAATTGATTATTTAATGTCTAATTGAAAGTATTTCATGCATGTTTTTACCTAATTTATAGGTCCAAATATGCATATGTCTGAAATGATTATAAAAAATTATTAAATATATACCAAAAGGAATGTACAGAATCACATAGTTAAGGGAAGTTGCCAACCTGCTATCAAAGTAAATCATAGAAAAATTGGCCCCAAACCTTATGTTACAACACAAACCATGCAATAATTGGGGGTCATAACTGCGTAATTTGTAATGTGAGATGCCAAAAAAGTTTTTTTTTTGTATAAATAGTATTATCACAACTAATTCTATGTGAAATTTGTAGTCTTTTGGCCTGATTTAAAAACATCAAAATGTTAGGGCAAATTTTAGCCATTAGTAAACCTACTCCTTTGTTCAAAATCTTGATGAACTCATTAGCATGATCAGATATTGTTGGTTTGAAGAAAATAAGTTTTTGAAATTGGTAACACTCATGGAAGAAAACAGTATCCCATGGATACATCTTATGTCTGTTTTGATGGACTCCTGCAATGTGATGCGTGGGTCCAAATCAAGACTTGAAAACCAGAATAAGGACGGAAAAGGCACCTCATTTGTTAGATGTTGGCTATCTGTATATGATGTAACCTTAGACACTTCACGGCTCTTTGATGCACTGACAGTGTTCTATTTCCCCCTGCTGACAGAATCAGAAAGAGTCAAGTTTCTACCAACAATTGTAGAAGTGTACCACAGGCTAGGAGTATCACAGTCTTCTAGAGAAAGAATATCAGAAATAAGAAAGGTATTGCAGTTAATGCATAAGTTTTTTGTTTGAATTGTTCAGCATTTTAAATTTTTTTTAACTACAAATTATATTAAAACTGCATCAGTCGCATGATAACTTTTAACAGTACTTAAAATTGAGAATGGAAATTGTTTGTTTATGTGCATGATGTTTAATTTAGCAATTTGAATTTAAATGCAGCATAAAGTAATGATTGATTTACCAATTTTATTTTCAGTGATGCATATTGTTTTGATTAGAAGTGCAGCATGGTGTTGTTTTTAACAGTATTTTTTTCAGTTGAGCATGTTGTTTAATTTAAAAATTTTATTTTCAGTTCAGCATGATCCTTCCCTAACTTCTGATCCATAGTCTTTTGGTGAGTAATCTTTCATTTCTATGCCAAGGTAGTCACGAAACTTGATTATTATGAGATGTTTTTTCAATCTTTTCTTAGAATTCTTTTATCAAAAGTTGGAAGAGTTAATATTTTGATTTCATTATTTATATTTTAGCAATAAACTACAATTATAAATGGACCAAAATGATGTATGGCCAAAATAAATATATTTTATCAATTAGATTATTTTCATTTTCATTTGATGAAATGATACGTGTATCTATTGTAAATTTTATGTATTTTGAAACCCTTTAAATGTATTTTGAGGTCAGACTATATTTTTTCCAGGACCTTACCCAGAAACAGCTAACAAAAAAGGGCATAGACAGGAAAGACAGAATAATTAATAAGATTTTTACAGAGAGAACATTATCAAAAATGGTTATGGGACTTTACTCGTCAGTATTTCCTCTGTTGAAGAACTTTGTCTTACTGTTTGAGATGAAGGAGCCTCTCATCCACCAACTCCACGAAGAACAGGTATGTGTATGATATAAATTGTCAAATTCTACACCAGAAATGAATATTTTCATTGGATTTCTGGTTTAAGGTATTTTAAAATGTAATTTGTGATGGTGTTTTCTGAATTTTGTATGTTTTTATAGTAATTTTGTGCATTTGATACATAATTTTTACACATGTTGATTGCAGTCAATTTCCAAATTTTACTTTACAGGTGAAATTATTTAAAGAATTTCTTGGTTGTTATGTTAAACCAGAAGTAATCATCTTGGGGACATCTTCTCTTAAACTGAAAAAACTAGACATAAAGACTACAGGGAATTTGTTAAAACCAGAGAGGATGTTTTTGGGAGCTAAAGCTACTAAGCTGATCCAAAGCTTGTCCGCTAGAGACCATGTTGTGAAAACTTTCCTAAAACAGGTATATATTTTTATTTTTGAAGCTGTTCCTTTGACATGTATTTGTATGAGCACACATATGGACTGCTTTTGGATAATAAAGATTAACTATGGTGCTTGAAGTATTTGTTATATCAAATGCTGATATGTGTTATATTTGAAACATTTCTGAATCAGTTATATTTTTTTATCAATTTTATTTTTTAAATACATATTTTTAAAATACATAAGTAACTAAATAGAATTAATGATTTGGACATTGTGTTGCTGGAAGAAATATTTTTTTTGAAATCATGTGAAATTATAAAAAATGTTTACCATTTCAGGTAGAGGAAGCTTATACTGCATGTGGAAAGACATTACAGGAAAAAATTGCTCTGAGTAACACTTTCCTCAAAGCAGTGTCAGCCATTCATCCTGATGCTAGTGGACATTCAGTCACTCTAACATTCTTACAGAAACTTCCTAATTTGGCCCCCAATGTGTTAACAGAGGAAGAAATTAACACATATGATTTGGAAATCCGAAAATATCAAACAGATGACCTGCCTGAATTTGAAGATGGAACCAGAATTGACCAATGGGGGGATAGGGATGACATAAGGAAAAGATATCCGTGTCTCTGTTAAATGGTGAGGTCTTTACTGTCATGTTTTCATGGGCCTCAAGTTGAATTTTCTTTCAAAGTCATGAATGACATCATTGACAATAAGTCTGGGAGAATCAATATTGAGACATATAATGCAATTCAAAATGTTAGTATAGTCTTAAAGCCTGTGAAAAGAGTGCAATTGCTTTTCACAACAAGAAAGATTTTCTCCAAGGTGTAAATCCCAAACTTATAAAAGACATGGGATCATCATGCAAGCAGTTTAAGCTTGAGTTAGAGATGAAAAGAAGTGCTCTAGAAGAGCAAAAGAACACGTTAAATGTAACAACGAAGACATCAATGGTTACAAAAAGGAAAGCTAAAGAACTGTGTGCTAAAGCAGCCAAGAAAGCAAGAAAAACTCATCAGCAACGTATTGCAAGAGGCTCAAGTATTGCAAAGAAAAGCTGAAAGGATGAACATTAATGTACATATGTGAAAATATATCTGTATATATGATGTTAACACTGTTTTTATAAAAAATGGAGAGTGTACATACTTTTTTAAAGAAGTTTTGCCTTGTCTTTGATGGATTGCCCCGTGTTGTATGAAAAATTAAATATGGCTACATTGTATGTGAGACTATGGATGTTGATATTTTATAAGTAACCATCAATTCATTATTATTTTTTAAATGAGAAGTTTAAACCTAGAGCAGAACAAATATATAGAAAAAAAAGATGATTCAGGTACTTCCTGGCTTATGTTAAATATTGATATAATATTATTTTCTACTTTTCTTTGAAAATTTTTGCATAAATTAGAAATTTATTTAAACAATGCACTTTAAATGATGTTTTCCAGCTTTCAAATTTAGTGCCAGGAGATGCCAGAATTCAGGATTTTGCACCATTTTACTCCAGAGCTTCTTGGGGGCCTTAACCGGCCCCTCGCCGTAAGGGCACCACGCTTCGTGAGGTGCATTGACTCACTTTGTGAGTCAGTGTTTAAAATTTTTAATTTTCATTTTTTTTTTAAATGCCAAAATCATGTCTGAAAATTAAAGACATTTTTTTGGAATACACAATAGACAAGGTTTAGTTTGAGTTGTTGGACCTTACAATATTAATTTGGTGACTTTATTCTCATTTTTTATGGACCTTCTAAACATATTTTGGATTAGTGTTCTTAAACAATAATTTTTCTTACAAACATAAAGGAAGATCATCAAATTTGTATAAGAGAAGGTTGTGTTCTTTTTAATCAGCAAAAAATGAACCCATTTAGAAACTAGCATAGAATAATTAATATTTGGTTCTAAATATATCAAAATCTTTAAGAATGAAAGTAGTGAACTTTAAAATAAATACCTTTAAAATGATATTTTATTATTTTGTTATGTCATATGATATTAAATTTTAATTTATTTCTATAGAATTTCTTTAGTTTTCATGGCAATATCTTTAATTATAATTATTTGGCTTTTTTTAGCATGCATATTTAATTTCTAATGCAATTATTTTGTATCAATGGTTTTGATTGGATGACAATAAGCGTAAAATTCTCTGTCTCCCTGTCTGTAACTAAGGAAGCCGACATTTTGAATTCTGGAATGTATTGACATGTAATTTCTCCAATAATAAGCAAAAAACTCACATTTTGCACCTAGAAATCTTCTTTTTGTCAAATTTTATTACATTTTGAGGCGGACAAGAAGCCAGAAAACGCCCGGTGTTTACGTTTGACGCCGGAAGCATACCTATGACGTCACCTAGTTTAGGCACCAAAGAAGATAACATCATTTCACGGAATTTTCGTTTAATGAAAATTTTACAACAAAATAATGACTAAAATTGAATGATTTCTTTATTTTGCATTAGAATAGAGATAACTGTATTGTATATGGTGCTTTGCGGACGTCCATCGGTAGTTTTACTGTCGCAAATATCCGTTTACCTGTCTCCGCTACGCGTCGCAAGGTAAACTCAATTTGGGACAGTAAGACTACCGATGGACGTCCGCAAAGCTTCAAATACAATACAGTTATCTCTTAACTGTGATTCAAACCTGCCTGTAGTCAATTGCTATATTTTAAAGTAAAGCATTGTTGGCTTAAAGTATATCAAATGGACTATCTGCTTGACATTTTAAATATAGTGTGCATATAGCTAATTTTATGAAAATACCATTTTTTTTTAATTTTTGATTGGATATGAAAAATAGATGTGGTATGATTTCCAATGAGACAAATCATTATTTTCTAAACCTCCATTTGCGTCTTATTTACATATTTTTTGCTTAACCTCAAAGGTTAATTAATGCCCAGGCCATCTTAATTGGTTTACGGTGACCTGATCATATGTTATAATATTGGGGATTCTTTTATTTTCCTGGATTTCATTTTATTTTCATTAATACTTATTTTCTGGTTATAAGAAATTCTGTATACAAGCCTATTCAATTTGGTAATTTGTGTTTTGATGAATACTTGAATTTGTGGTTTAACTATGAAGACCACTTCCTGGAAAATAAGTGTCCCTAAAATACTAATGAATCTACCGTATCAACTGGTACGATGTTTGGTCAGTAGCATGAATTATTATTTATTCCATCATTTGGGAAGTACATTGAGAAAATGATTATATTTATCCACTTAAATGCAAACTTACACTTTTTGAATTTGAAAATTAGGAGATAACTGAACTGTTTTTTAAACTTGACCTTTTTAAAACGTAGATTTTACTGTCGCAAATTGAGTTTACCTAGCAATGCATAGTAAATATTTTGGCTTACAAATATCATAAATGAAAAAGTCCTTTAATCTGTTACATCGTCTTTGGCATCTAAACAATATGACGTCATAGGTATATATACTCCTGATGTAAAACATGAACACTAGATGTATTCATACTTTTTCGTATGATTCTGAATGGTTTAAATATTGCCAAAAAGATTTTGAGGCACAATATGTGACTTTTTAATTTATTGTTTGAGAAATTACATACCAAAAAAATTCAGAATTCAAAATGGTGGCTTTCCTTACTTCTGGACTGGTAAAACGTGAAATCTAACCCTTCAAAATTTGGTAAAGGTCCAATGCAAATTATAGTTCTAAACGAATCTAGAATCTTGTTTTTCTCCAGTGGATAAATATCATATTCCACAGGGTATTTATTATGTTAAATATATCCGAATTGTCCAATGACCATATATTATAATTTGCTACTTGAAAATGTACATGATAAAACATTAATATATAGAATGTTCAATATATACTTGTGACATTACTCAGACCTCAGACCTGTAATTTTAATACATAAGTTATTCTATGAAAATAGTTTTAGACGTATGATACATTTGTAACAGACATGGAATATGATTCAAACTGGATTTCAGATCTTGTTTACCATTTAAGAAAAATAATTTTACATTACAAAGAATTGTATGTGAGATAGGTCAAATTCTTTAGTAAAATAAATAAAGGATGTTCCAGTCAAATTATCTCTGCAAGTCTTTTTTATTGAACAAAATCAAAATTGGCTTTTGTTTATAATGTTTGTTGCTTTCTTTAATATTCATTTTGTCATGAGTAAATAATTAAAAACTTCCACATTTATATTATCTTTATTGGTTCAAGCTGTTTAAAGAGTGATTAATGAATCATTGATGCTTAAATTTATGGCTTATCGAATCATTTGTACTTAAAGTTATGGCTTATCGAATCATTTGTACTGAAAGTTATGGCTTATCAAATCATTTGTACTAAACGTTATGGCTTATCGAATCATTTGTACTTATAGTAATGGCTAATCGAATCATTTGTACTAAAAGTTATGGCTTATCCAATCATTTGCACTTAAAGTTATGGCTAATCGAATCATTTGTACTTAAAGTTATGGCTTGTCGAATCATTGGTGCTTAAAGTTATGACTAATCGAATCATTTGTACTTAAAATTATGGCTTATCGAATCATTTGTACTTAAAGTTATGGCTTATCGAATCATTTGTACTTAAAGTTATGGCTAATCGAATCATTTGTACTTAAAGTTATGGCTTATCGAATCATTTTTACTTGAAGTTATGGCTTATTGAATCATTGGTACATAAAGTTATGGCTTATTAAATCATTGGTACTTAAAGTTATGGCTTATTGAATCATTGGTACTTAAAGTTATGGATTATTGAATCATTGGTACTTAAAGTTATGGCTTATTGAATCATTGGTACTTAATGTTATGGCTTATTGAATCATTGGTACTTAAAGTTATGGCTAATTGAATCATTGGTACTTAAAGTTATGGCTTATTGAATCATTGGTACTTAAAGTTATGGCAAATCAACTAATATAAATGAATTGTGAATACCAAATAGATTTGGTTCATCTGATGACAGATATTTCATATTACTTCTTGACTGGATAAATCACATTTATATTGAATTTATGTAAATTTTAAACAGAATGGTGAAAGTTTAATGGTTAAAGTTGCTACTGGGGGAGCTTCAAAATCCAAGGAGAAGGTCAGACACATATAAGATACATATACAATATATATAGATAATGGCATTTTTGTCCCCTGCATAACGCGTTGCAGGGGACATTGAAATACCGGGCGTCAGTCTGTCCGTCCGTCCGTCCGTCCGTCCATCCAGTCTTGTTAGCGCTCTCAGAGGTACAATTCTTGCCAGATTTTTATAAAACTTATACTATAGGTAAGTATCAGCAATATCTGGGACAAGTTCTATAATGGTGGCCGATCGACTTTTTTAAAAAGATTTATGCCCCTTGAAAAAATTAAATTTATGGAAAATGGCCTCGTTTGCGCTCTTACGGGTACAATTCTTGCCTGATTTTTATAAAACTTATACTATAGGTTAATATAAGCAATATCTCGGACAAGTTTTATAATGGTGGCCGATCGACTTTTTTAAAAAGAGTTATGCCCCTTGGAAATATTAAATGTATGGAGAATGGCCTCGTTAGCGCTCTCACGGGTAAGATTCTTACCTGATTTTTATAAAACTTATATTATAGGTTAATATCAGCAATATCTCTCACAAGTTCTATAATGGTGGACGATCGACTTTTTTAAAAGAGTTATGCCCTTGGAAATATAAAATATGTGCAACGCGGTGGACATTGGAACTCTGTTCTTTTATTAGTCCCCTACCGATTAAGTCGAAGGGGACTATAGGTTTGCTCTCTGTCTGTCTGTCTGTCTGTCTGTCCATCCGTCAGTCCGGCAAATCAGTTTTCCTCACTTCTTTTCTTCGTGCATGAAGATATTGATTTGATATTTGGTATATAGTTTTACCATGACAAGTTACAGATCAAGTTCTAATTTTGTTCCGGTCTGATGATTTTGTGCAGAGTAATGGTCCTTGGGCTTAGAAAATTCACGCAAATAATCAGTTTTCCACACTTTATTTTTGTTATGCTTCAGTATATTGATTTGATATTCGGTATATAGTTTAACCATGACAAGTTACAGATCAAGTTCGAGTTTTGTCCTGGTCTGATGATTTTGTGCAGAGTTTAATTATGGTCCTTGGACTTAGACAATTCACGCAAATAACCAGTTTTACACTTTTTTTCGTCATGCATGAAGATATCGATTTGATATTTGATATGAAGTTTACACCATGACAAGTTACAGATCAAGTTAGCATTTCGTTCCAGTACAGTGAATTTTTAACCGGTAGGGGACTATGTATTGCCATGCAATACTCTAAGAATGCTTGTTGTTTTTGATACTGACTTATCATCAAGAATATCAAGCAAGCCCATTATTCTTTTTATCGGCCTTTTTTCATGTCTGTATGTTTCTTTGGTTGAGAGTATTTAATAAAATAAAATAGTTAGTAAAACGTTTTATACGCGTACAAAACATTGTGATAGTTGTGCGGTTGTATGAATGAAGTCGCGTGTATTTCATTGATAAATTGACACTGATGGACATGAACATGTAACGTTGCTACACTGATACATGATGTCATTGCCTAATATTTTTGAGTATCAAGTCCTGTCCATGATCTTTAAAATAATAGGCAGTAAGATTAGAGGGAAAATGTACAAATTGCCGATAAATGTGCATTATCTGAAAATATAAAATATTTTTGTATGAGCGTTAGAAACTGAAAGAAAAACAAAGCTTGCAGATACAACTCTCCACCAGAGACCAAATGACGTACAAGGTTAGCAACTATAGGTCATTGTACGGCCTTCAACAATGAGCAAAACCCATACCGCATAGCAAGCTATAAAATGCCTGAAAATGACAAATGTAAAACAATTCAAACAAGATAACTAACTACTGGCCTAATTTAAAACAATACAATCATGACAATTACATTTTAAGTTTAAAAAAACATATATAGTTGACACCCACCCATAGCTGAGATTTGGAAGTCCCATGTATGTTTTTGTGGAACGGTTCTTATTATAAATCTAATAAAAAACATGTTTAAGTGCATATTGTTACCTTGAGGGAAAGGGGGGGGGGGGTTCTCTTCCTTTATAAAGGTATACACAGACTTGCTGCTGGTATGGGTCACTTTTTTTGGAATGTCAAATATATCCATGGGGGTGCTATTTCAAGGAGGTAATATACCAATGGATAGATATATGTCAATGGGTCATAAATGTTCATCTTCTGTTGAGATGTCTGTCAAAACTGTTCTGATCTATTTACCTTTTAGCATTCTGCAATGCTTAAAATTCAATTGTGCAAGATATCATGGTTTTGACAAGTTCTTCGTACAAGCCTAAATTTGTTTCATTTGGAGTACTTAAATTATTGGGACATCTTTATTGATGAAAGCCACAAAAATTAGTAACTGACAAGTACAAAAGTATCCACAAAACTTGTTAACTGCAGTCATTCACCAAATATCTTCAAATTGTGACTGCCAGCTGATATTTTTTTGCAATTCAGTATGCAGAAAACCTGATGATAAGTACATACAAAATTAAGATTAGTATCCAATGACTTATATTGATATATTTTTCAGCTACCTATGGTGTTTGTTGTACCAAAGCTGAATTATTTTTAGTATAGTTCCTGTTTAAATAAGCCCTCCATGTTGGAATTCGGAGATGTGATAGTTCCAGGTAGGATCAAAGAGTAATCATACTATCTAACTATCTTAACAAGCACCAATATTGGTTTGAACAACTTTTGACTCACATTGGACAAAGTTCTGGCAGGGAAGATATGTTTACCTTTTTCTGCATAAAAAAAATACATTTTCTGATTCACTCCATTTAAGAATAAGTTTGTATGTGTTGATGATGAGAGACCACTTATATTTTTGTTTGCTGTTGCAGTATTATAAAGTTATGGCCTGTAGAAACGGTGAATATCCAAAATTGTAAACCTGAAAAGATTATTTCACTGAGAGCTTAACCAAAATTAAATAACTTTTTAGGGTTGACAATTTTGGATATTCATCTTTTCTAAGGGGCCGCAATTGTTTAATATTATCAAACTAACAGTGGAAGAGACTTTTAAACCATTGAAGAAACACTTACCTTACTGTAGTAACAGATTGTCAAAACACTCACTTTAGAAAATTATAATGTGTCTTATAATTTCTCGTATGTACAACAAAGGTAGACTCTTTCTGTAAAATATTGATGGTCCTGAAAAATACCATTTATGAGAGATATCCTTGGCAATAGATGAATTTCTAAGCCTTGTTTCCTGGTCACTCTATGGGCTTCTAACTCGACTATGGCCATTTTGTTTACTTACATCTTTGACATCATTTCGGTGGGATTTAGTTAGTGTACAAATCAAGAAGCTCAAAAGGTTATTCACAAGTATATAATAGGGTTATTCATCACAAGGTGTAACATTTTAGGGTTATATGTCCTTCCTTGCATTTAAATGAAAATTAACTGTATTATTCGGGAGCGTAGCTATAATCCGACACCCCGAAATTCTGACGGTCCAATAGTCAAATGGTTCGATAATCCGACAGTCCGTTAATCCGACAGTCTGTTGGTCCGACACGAAGCGGTGTTGTTGCAAAGAATGTGGATCTCGTCTTCATATAAGCTTATTAGTATACTGTCGAAACGCGAGCAGTGTTTAAAATTGAAAAAGTGGAATGCGGTGTAATGGAATCCAAATTAAATCCTAGACTGTTTGAAAAATTAATCTAAGATTCCATTCCTGTTCATCATGTCGAAGTTGATAACGAGAATGTCTGTTTACATGCATGCGTGTGCATGTAAAGTATTATGTGGTTGAATGTGAAATGTGACATGTATTAGGTGTATGCTTCTCATATCTGAGGGGCGTTAGCCTCGAAGATATGATACGACTACATCGGATTTTCTTTTCTTTTCTTGTTCTTGAGCAATTTGGTTTGATGAAATATGAATGATGTCATTATCTCAAATTTTCTAGATGCAGTACCACTTTCAGAAGATGTTTCATAGTTTTGGATTTGAAGTGAAATCTTAATAAATTGCGTCTATTTTTCTGTCATCAAAATGACACCTTATCACTGCTTTTGTATGGCATTATAAACTGCTGTACTATCTCGTCTTTTTCTGGTTTAATTGCCAAAACCTGATCTTTTTGCTGATAAATGATAACACTTCTATGTAAATTATAATATGGACTTAAGCATTCCTAGTCATAGAATCATCACGATATGAAACCAATTATGTGAAAAAGAACGGAACGAAGATGGGCACACACAGTATACAAAGCAGATAGTAGTTAACACCGATGGCTGCAGTGTTGAAGGTCCCGGTTCTATTCTGACTCTGGGCGCGATACATTTCATTAATCAGAAGGGTAAATTTCACCCTCCCTTTAACTTTGGGGCCTCGGTGGTCAAAGTTGGCCCAAACTTTAACCTGGAAATAAATCTGCTGAGAACTCTTCGGTTTGTCTGTTCCCGTCGAGCAGCCCTTGGTTCTCTACGAGTACTTCGGCTTCTTCCACCATAATAACAGACTTCCCGATGTTCTCACGGGAGGCTGCCTTTGTGTTGAGGTAGGGATTGCCCTTGTACAAGTGTATTAGCGGATTTATCCGAGGATTGCCGATTGAATTTAGCCCGCTGCGTTCATTTCCGGTTCGTATGGGATTAGTGCGGCCCTGTACAAGACGTCATACTGACTGATTTGATAATTTTCTGTGTGAAAAATATACCAATTCACAAACGTTACATGTCTATATTGGCATATTTTTCAGAGACATGTGACCGCGCCTAGACTATCGGACTATCGGATTATAGGGCTGTCGGACTATAGGATTGTCGGATTATAAGATTGTCGGACTACAGGACTGTCGGATTATGGGACTGTCGGATTATAAGTCTGACCCTGTATTATTCCATGTCACGTGATAATGTATTAACCAATAGAATTGTTTATAATATATGTTAGGTATAATAATATCAATGATACAAGGAATTATTCCATGTCACTTGATATTGTGTACCCAATAGCATATTTTATCATGTATGTAAGGTATAATAAGATATGAACTGTGTCGATTAGAAATCTACCTTATGCAAGTGCACCTATACATGTATAAGACTTTGATTGATTTTGAATCATTCCAATTGAAAACAGAAGATAATTTAGGTATGTGTTGTAGGGTTCCTATATGAACTCAATTTTCAAACAGTTACAGACTTTGTATAGAGATTTTTTCAACCCGATATAGGTTAACAGATGTATTGATATATACTGACAACAACATTTCGGTCTTTGAACATTCTTTTGAGCATTTTAAAAATAATGTCTTTATTAAACTTATTGTGATAAGTTTGATTAAGACTGCTAAAGATTTTGAGGTCACTATGTCAGACTTAAGGTCACAACAGCAAGTTATAGGCAGAAATAAGGTCACAATTGTGGTTTCAGGATGAAATCTTTTGAACCATATGTTCAACCTTCACCAAATTTTGCTTGAAATTGCTTTACTGCTGGAACATACCCCTTGTAAAGAAAATGCCAAACTTTTGACTTTATTATTATTAGGTCAAAGATCAAGACCACTGTGCATAAACATTGAAAATAGATTAGCCAAATGTGTATGTATTAAGTATTACATAAAGATATATTGTGTATTGCTGCTATTTTTATCTACCCAATCTTTGTTGATATATTGTTTATTACTGCTATCTACCCAATCTTTATTGATATATTGCAGGTTTATTGGTGGGCTATAATCATGGAATAGATTTAAAAGTCAATAGTAGAAAAATATACTACATAGCTACAGTAATAGGTAAGTTGTGTTTAAACATTGTAAACATGAAAATTTTCATGCCAGTATTATTTTGACTTGTTTTGCGATCACACAAAATGCTAGAAAAAATCCAATAGTTTATAGAAATCAACAATAATAATGTGCAGAATAAATTATTGTTGATACACAAATTTAACCGCTATGTGGAAAGCTTATATACTGTAATTCAGAAATTCATGCATGTATTTATTTTTGCGAAAATTTGACCAGTGGCAAAAAAGCGTAATCTATAGCTAATTAATGTGATTGAAAAAATTTTATAAATGAAAATCACTTCTAAAATTATGAATGCAAGTTTTTATTATTTCAAACATGATCCTGTCTCATTTTTCACATTAATAAAAACATCGCAATAATTTCTTAATTTACAATATTGCAATCAGGGAAAAAAACTCTGTAAATATTCATTTTTAAAGGATAATGTTTTCATAATTTTCACCATGCTTTGTTGGTTGGAGTAAGGATTTACTGCATATTGATATTAAAGTATAGCAAAAAAAACTGTCAAAGAACCATAGGTTGTAAATAACTAGCACAAATAACAGTCTGATATCCAAACTTTTTGAGACGAGTCAAGATTTACCCAAAACCATTGATGTGTGAATTCAACTTTTAAAACAATAATAGACTGATGAGGATCGTAATGGGGTACCTTCATGACGAATAACGGTAAAAATCTTGCCAAATGACGTTAACGGTAATTTTTGGTGCATGACGATAAATGTACATTTTCTTTAGACAATAACAAAAATCGACTGATTTTGACGAATCATGTTAAATTATTTCCAAAAAAATGGTAAAGGATAATTATTTGAGACCGCTGATGAATCACGATAAGGATATTTTGACGTATTGCGCTAAAATTTTAACCAATTTGACGATAACGGTAGTTGAAAATGACCATTTGACACCTGATGGTAAACGGTATTTCTACCCTCACTGATGCTACCAATTTCTTGTTCATAATTAGATACCAATAATTTTTCTTAGCTTAAGCAATAATTATTCCCATAAAAAATCACACCTATTAGAATATTGACTTCTACCACTTGATGTTTGGTTCTCTATACATAAACCTGAAAGGTAATACTAAGAAGGCCTATGTGTAATGCTATGTGGTGTTACCTGTGGTCTGTTAATTTGCATGAAACCTTAGGACGTTTTCAAAGAATCACAAGAGAACAATTAAAGAAAAGCCTCATTGCAAGCATTACTTACATAGTCATGATTGTACCTTAAAAGTATGTATGTGTTTACAGCATATGGAATTGGAATGATCATCACATTGTTGCCTTTGAGTTGATGCAGACTGGCCAACCAGCTTTATTGTACCTTGTACTTTGTACACTTATAACAACTTATGTGATTGGCTGTATCAGAGGAGAATTTAAACTATTGTGGAATGGAATCAAAAAAGTGGTAAAATATTTTTTCATGCAGGTTTACATTGAGATACGTGTTATATGTAATTAAAAGAAATGAAAAGATGTTATGTCCCCTTTTCCCGAATGTGACCTACCGAATTAGACTTATTACCAGGTTTGTACTAACATGAGCAACAGGACTGGTGCCACATGTGGAGCAAGATCTGCTTACCCTTCCGGAGCACCTGAGATCACCCCCAGTTTTTGGTGGGGTTCGTGTTGCTCAGTCTTTAGTTTTCTATGTTGTGTTTTGTGTACTATTGTTTGTCTGTTGGTATTTTTTCTTTTTTAGCCATGGCGTTGTCAGTTTATTTTCGACTTATGAGTTTGAATATCCCTTTGGTATCTTTCGCCCCTCTTTTTGAAGTAGGAAAAAATAAATGTGATTAGTAACATGACAGCTTTGATATGCTCAAATTACCAAACTGTATGTTTTTTTAGTTCCTTTGATGGTTTTCCTGCTTGATCCTTCCAAAAAAGAATTATCCTTAAAATTCAAGTATGTAACTCATGTGGGAACATACAAAAAAGCTGTCTATTTTTGTTCTTGAATTTACACAATTTCAGTAGTAGTTTTAAAACTTATTCCTGAAAAAAAATTAAACATTACTTTCTACTCAGCAAACATTCTCCTTTTGAAAGGAAGGAGTACTGTAAGCCTTAAGAGAAATGATACTTTTCAAACTAATTTTAAATAAGGTGAGGGAAAAGGATATTGAGAAGATGAATAACTCAGAATTTCTAATGCAATATATACTGGAAATTAGGCCCAGGCCAGTAAAAAGGTTGCTAGGCCAGTAAAGTGTTCATGAAAGGAGGCAGCATTAGCCATATTTATAGTTTAAAGAAATTTTATGAAAGACTGTTTTTGGGCTTGTACATAAAAAACATTTTCTGAAACTTAGAGCATTAAGATGCTGTACTTAATTGTGAAGATTACTAAAAAAGAGCAAAGTCAAGATGGCACTTATATATAACATTGACTAAAGTATAACTCATTGATATGTATGATTTAAAGGAACCTATGGTATCTAGATTCAGAAATGTTTGCGATGTTTTTATTATTGCGAAAATTGCAACATGATTGGTTTCACAAAAAATTGTACATCTTATTTTTAGCTCACCTGGCCTGAAGGGCCAAATGAAATTTTCTCATCACTTGGCGTCCGTCGTCTGTCGTTGTCGTCGCTGTTAACTTTTTAGATCACCTGGCCCGAAGGGTCAAGTGAGCTTTTCTCATCACTTGGCGTCCGTCGTCCGTCATCGTCGTCGTCGTCCGTCTTCATTAACTTTTTACATTTTGAACTTCTTCTAGAGAACCACTGAATGGAATGGAACCCAACAAAGCATGAATGTTTCTAATGAGGTGTTGATCAAGTGTTGTAACTTTGAAGCCGATCCATCATCCAAGATGACCGCCAGCGGGGGACTTAGTTTAACATAGGACCCTATGGGAAATACATACAAATGTCTTCTTTTAGAGAACCACTGAATTGAATGTAACCAAACATGGCATGAATGTTCCTTATGAGGTGCTTACCAAGTGTTGTTACTTTGAAGCTGATCCATCATCCAAGATGGCCGCAAGTGGGGGACTTAGTTTAACATAGGACCCTATGGGAAATACATACAAATGTCTTCTTTTAGAGAACCACGCAATGGAATAAAATCAAACATGGCATGAATGTTCCTTATGAGGTGCTGACTAAGTGTTGTTACTTTGAAGCCAATCCATCATCCAAGATGGCCGCTAGCGGAGGACTAATTTAACAAAGGACCCTATGGGAAATACATACGAATGTCTTCTTTTAGAGAACCACTGAATGAAATGAAACCAAACATAGCATTAATGTTCCTAAGGAAGTGCTGACCAAGTGTTGTTACTTTGAAGCCGATCCATCATCCAAGATGGCCACCAGCTGGGGACAGTGTTTAACAAAGGACCATATGGACAATACATACAAATGTCTTCTTTTAGAGAACCACTGAATGGATTGAAACCAAACATGGCATGATTGTTCCTTATGAGGTGCTGACTACGTGTTGTTACTTTGAAGGTAATCCTTCATCCACGAGGGCCGCCAGCGGGGGGACTTCCTTTAACATAAGACCCTATTGGAAATACATACAAATGCTTCTTTTAGAGGTGCACTGAATGGAATGAAACCAAACATGGCATAAATGTTTCTTATGAGGTGCTGATGAAGTGTTGCTACTTTGTTGCTGATTTACTGTTCAAGATGGCCACCAGGATTTTTTTTATTAAATTACAGGGCCAATATTAAACCAAATTTGGCCTCACTCATTATTAGGGTATCTTAGGTTATGATTTTAATCTTTTTTAACATGATTTCCAAAACCAAAGTAGAATCAGGTGAGCGACTCAGGCTCTTGAGAGCCTCTAGTTACATTTTGAACTTCTTCTAGAGAACCACAAAATGGAATGAAACCAAACATGGCATAAATGTTCCTTATGAGGTGCTGACCAAGTGTTGTTACTTTGAAGCCGATCCATCATCCAAGATGGCCGCCAGAGGGGGACTTAGTTTAACATAGGACCCTATAGGAAATACATAGAAATGTCTTCTTTTAGAGAACCACTAAATAGAATGAAATCAAACATGGCATGAATGTTCCTTATGAGGTGCTGACCAAGTGTTGTTGTTACTTTGTAGGCGATCAATCGTCCAAGATGGCCGCCAGCGGGGACTTCGTTAAACATAGGACCCTAGGGACAATACATACAAATGTCTTCTTTTAGAGAACCACTGAAAGGAATAAAACCAAACATGGCATGAATGTTCCTTTTGAGGTGTTGACCAAGAACTGTTACTTTGAAGCCAATCCATCATCAAAGATGGCCACCAGAGAGGGACTTAGTTTAACATAGGACCCTACGGGAAATACATACAACTGTCTTCTTTTTAGAGAACCACTAAATAGAATGAAATAAAACATGGCATTAATGTTTGTTATGAGGTACTGACCAAGTGTTGTAACTTTGTAGGCGATCCATTATCCAAGATGGCTGTCAGCGGGGGACTTCATTTAACAGAGGACCCTATGGACAATACATACAAATGTCTTCTTTTAGAGAACCACTGAAAGGAATGAAACCAAACATGGCATGAATGTTCCTTGTGAGGTTCTGACCAAGAATTGTTACTTTGAAGCCAATTCATCATCCAAGATGGCTGCCAGTGGGAACTTAGTTTAACATAGGACCCTATGGGAAATACATACAAATGTTTTCTTTTAGAGAACCACTGAATGGAATGAAACCAAACATGGCATGAATGTTCCTAATGAGATGCTGGCCAAGTTGTGTTACTTTGTAGCCAATCAATAATCCAAGATGGCTGCCAGCGGGGTACTTAGTTTAACAAAGGACCCTATGTGAAATACATACAAAAGTCTTCTTTTTAGAGAATCACTAAATGGAATGAAATAAAACATGGCATGAATGTTTGTTATGAGGTACTGACCAAGTGTTGTTACTTTGTAGCTGATTTGTCATTGTCCTTATAAAGTCATTTTCTACAATTTCAATGAATTTATTGGTAATTTCTGTAAACTTTTCAAAAAGTCTTCTGCTTTTGATTAAATTATGGGGCCAATATTAAACCAAATTTAGCCTCAATCATTATTAGGGTATCTGTTATGATTTTAATCTATTTTTACATTATTTTCTAAAACGAAAGTAGAATAAGGTGAGCAACACAAGCTCTTGAGAGCCTCTAGTTAAATTTCATTAGCTTTATTTGTATGCAGATTTTCCTAAAACTTGTGTCCATTGTTCAACAATCACAATAATAAATAAGTGCATAAAAAAATTTCTGAATTTACAGTATAAATTATCAGGTATTCTGCATATAGATATCCATTTTTGGGGCCCTTTATAGCTTGCTGTTTGGTGTGAGCCAAGGCTCCGTGTTGAAGGTCGTATTTGACCTATAATGGTTTACTTTTACAAATTGTGATTAGAATGGAGAGTTGTCTCATTGGCACTCATACTACATCTTCTTATATCTATCATACAAAATCAGCCACTAATTGTTGAATACTAATTTTCGTGGGTTTAGTGGGTACAGGCGAACCACGAATTCAAATGTTCAACAAATAACAAATTTTCTATAGGCTTTAGCAAGTTTTCCTCAATCCACGAAAATTGGTACCAACGCAAATAAATGAATCCACAGTATACAGTATACATTATCAGGTATTCTTCATATAGATTTCATACTATATCAGCCACTAGTTTTATCATTGTCCTTGAAAGTTCATAGAATTTTATCTAAAATTGATTTTTTCATTTTAAATGTTTATTCTTTATGAATATTTTATCTATTTGACAGAGTGTTACAGAAAACTGTTAGAATCCTCCACCACAACCAGAGAATGTTATCTCAGGCCCTAATACAGCATCTGTAAATAATGTCAATAAAGAAATGTCTAGTACATCTACAATAGACAGTGAAAACAGAAGTCTAATCAGGAAGTGACTATGTCACAGAAAATCTGAAACAAAGAATTATGGGAAACTTAAAATATTATAACTAGTGGGTTGAGATACACAAAAACTTGAGGGAATTCAATCTCTTTTTTATATCTTTCATTTTCATCTTTTTGATATATTTGTTGAAAATTATTTTATATATTTTTAAGTATAACCGGCTGCTTTGTGTACCTTTATTTTTGCAGCATATATTTCTGCATATTTATTTTAGGATTACCAAAACATTTTTATTTAGCAGAATTGAGATTTGTTTGGGAAAAATAGAAGATAAGATGTTCAAACATACCCAAAACAAAAGAATAGCAGCACCACCTCCATCAATTTCTTTGGAATACAAATTTCTAATGTGTATAACTTTTTGTCCCCCGCACAACTGCATATAGATAGTATAATGTGTGAATCTTGAAATGCACTATGTTTACACTATAAAACTATAAACATGTTGCTTTAATTTACAACATTTGATCTCTGGTTGACAGTTGTCTCATTGACAATCATATCTCATCTTAATTTTTTTTATGCATTTCACCAGTAATTCATGTAGATGTTAGGTCTATGGTCAGTGCCATTGGAAAACTGTCTTGCCTGTAAGGGCTGTACCAGCAAAACATACCCGGGGACGGCATTTAAAAAAAAATATATACTTGGTTGTAGGTTGATGGAAAATGCATCTATGGTCCGGTACTGGGCTTGGAAATTCGCTTCTATGGAAGGGAAATTCTGTTGAAAGTTGTTTTTTACTTTCTCGAAATGGTCCGAAATAAATCCCTGTCATTGTATAAACCTTTTAATTGAGTTACGCGCTTTTGTTGCCGGAAGTTCGAGCCATTTTTACCGGAAATTGCCCCGTGTTTGTTTTGATATTATTCTTCCGGTATTCTCGGGGTTTTGCGGTGAAGCACTGGGCGCGTCCCGAGATGCCCTAACATCAGAAAAGATGTCAGCTTCCACCTGGAATGTCACGCGTGTGGTCGACTGGCTCCAAAATATCGATTATATATATATGAATAAAATATTTTGTTGACAATTATGAGGAAATTCATCTGTGTCATTCATACCACCGGTTCACTTTTTAGTTTTAACTCCTGAAGTTGGATTTTCATGAAACTTATAACACTTATGCAACTTGATATACACTATATATCTCCTAGTAGATTGTTTCTGTCGTTCATATGTGCTAAACAGAACACAGGGTCTGTGAGATAATTGTCTTGTTCATAAATATATTTTTACCATTTTTTCTCACACCAATTATTTTGCAGGACATAGTTTTTCAGTCTGTTCATACCACCCACA